GCTGCTGACACGACGACGAACGACAATGGTGCTTCGATCATTAAGATCTTCTCGCATCATCAAATCCTTGATGCCATTGTCACGATCTTGACCTAAACTGCGATCCAACACCCACCTGCGGGACATGGGTCAGGCTGCCACGCAGGGCAGTGTTGGCTGCGGAGCTGGGCACGGCCACAAAGGCGGCCATGGCCTGGGGATTTCTGCGGGCCGAAGCTTCGCAGTTTTCATTACCAGGCTTTTCGCCTTGTCTTGAGGTGCGAACCGCTATTTTAAGGTGAGGACGGAACTAGCAGACAAGAGCTCCAAAGTCACATCGAACACATACACATGTGGATGTGGCATGGGAACGTCGTCACACCTCGAACCTCGCAACCCACCTGCCGTGCATCCAAGGCACAGTTGCCGGACAGAGGGAAAAGTATGTACCTGGCGAACCTTGCTTTGCGGCCGCAGTGGCTGCGAGCGGCTGGGTGCCTGATCCTGCAACGAAACACCTCGCAACCCAAAGCTGGACTGCGATCGAAATGATCATGTCCCAGTACAAGGCAAGTCTACAAACATGATTACTACTTAGATCGAAACACAACCGCATGCAACACCATGATCCGCCTCCGCCTTACCCAGGGCTGTTGATAGCCCTGTCCGTGCTCCAGGTGCCTGTGTCGTGAGAGCGGTCTCCGCACTCGGGCTACTTTCTACTACACGCTCCTCCCCCCTGTATTCAATGTTTCTTGCAGGTGGCAGTTTGGAAAAGGGATCCGGCTTGGCCGACTAGCCCACCGGTCGCAGCAAACGGAACATGTCTACTTCGTGCCGACAAGTCGTTTTGAATCCAAGCCCTCAAGACCACCACGGTTCCAGCTGTGGAAGAACGCAGATGGACTGAGGTGAGTTGAGTGTTTCGCGGCACGGCTGTGGGGCTGCACTCAATCAGTAGTAGAGAAACGGAAGCACGGCAACTCTGGCCAAGCATGTGAGACTGTCCTCGCACCTATCATCCGAAGGTGCAGCCGGTGTTTTTGACGCAGTTGCACTGGCTTGACCTACGGCCAAACGAAGCTCAAAGTGGCCCCGAAGGCATAACCCTGACCCGAGCCGTGGCACGGGCCTTCACCATCCATTCTGGAGCTATGCGATCATCTGGCACCATGCCACCTTCAGCAACAGCTGTGAGCGAGTGCTGTGCGAGAAAAAAACGGGGCTACTACCACAGACCCCGGACAGCACCCCGCCCCGTCCCCCAGCCCCAAGTCGGCTGGTTTCAGGACGAACAACTGCCGAGGCCCCCCACGCCAAAGGCCACAGGAAAGCCATCACTGCTAAGCTCCACCTGCACGGCATGCACCGTGTAGAAGCACAAAGTGCCTTCGCCTCAAATATGTGCAGCAGTTTCACGCCGCCTCGACAGTGGCAGGAGAACATGGAAGAAGACATCCACTGCGAAAGGCCTCGGTAGAGACGAACATTACTTTCAAACGCAGGGCTTCCTTGTGCGCAGAAACAGACGAGACAGATTATCCTCCTGCATTCCCCTCGGGTACCAGCAAGAGGCGGATCCTCGCCCGATGACAAGCAGCCGCCTGGCGGCTTCCGGAGAAAAAAACATCTTTCCACCTTCCGTCCGCAGGAAAAACCAGCACCTAAGGCCTAAGGATTAGACCCAAGTCTGGTATGCACACACAGGCCGCATGGCAGTGCAGCCATACCTCCTATCCCAGGCCCGTGTAAAATGATTTGCACGTTTCAGGAAATCCCTCGTCTCAGGCGAGGGCCATGCCACCGCGGTACTTCCCAAGATGCGAGAATCTGCAGCATACAGACACTACGTTCTGCGCACAGTTGATGCAACATCCCCACTGGTCCTCGACAGCTTGAGCGCCACCTGGCCTCTCCGCCTGGACTCTTGACCGTCAGCTGCGTGGAGCGCCAGGCCTCATGTGAGTATGATACTGCTGCAAGTGGATTCATCTAATGAAGCGCGGTGTGGGGCTGACAGGAGGTCGCTGGGGGATTTGCTCCATCTGCTATGACCGCGATGTAACAGCAACAGCCAGAAGGCAACGAGCATCCAAGGCTGACGCTTCGTGAAGGGCCTTCAGAGGGCCAGGGCTCTTCTGCTCATCGAGCCCCAAAGCCGAATATCCAGAAATCCGAAAGGCGCTTCGCCTCCACGTGGGATCTTCGGCATCCGAGGCCGAGCACGGGCTCCTTAGTTCCGGTCCGAAGCTGAAGGAAAACGTCAGAGCAACTTGCAAGCAACACAACGAGGACAGCACACCCTCCAAGGACAGGATCCAGCTTTCCGGAGGCTCCGGGCTCCTGCCAATCCAGGCCATCTCATGGCCACTGACTCGAACCAAAAGAGCGCAGTGGTGCAGAAGCTGCACTCCGCCACTCCGCACGAGTTGCTCTTTCGCCCTTCCTGGCTGCACGGCCTTTTGCGGTAAGGCGCACCTTCAAGGGAGCGACTGATTTTTGAGCTGCTTTTCTCAGTCCTCTGTGCACAGTTTTGGCTGCTGTGGGTTTGGGTTCGGATGGGCAACGTCTGACAGGACTGTGAACAAAGCCTGGAGGTCGCGAAACGCGCCAAACACGGCCCGTGGCCTCGTCGTTGGGGATAGCTCAAACAGAACATGCTGCTCCAGGCATACCCAGAGCCAGTTCCGGGTCACGGGCAACGGCAGCATGTGTAGGAGAGCTGCTGAGAGAGGTCCAGATTGCCTCATACTGGGCACATTTCATCTCAATTGTCCTCAAGAGTGCTGTTTCTTGGAAGAAGTCCTCGACACTACCGCGTACTCGAGCGAGGCTCTGACAAGAAAACAAGCACTAACCGGGATTCTGTGGTCTGGACTTAAACTGCACTGGTGCCCTCTGGCGAAATCCAAAACGGCTGTATGGAGACCCTGATACAAGTCCAACCTCGTGCGTCGCCTCAACCCTCCCTCCTTCTCCCTAGGAACGCGCACTCGGCAAGTTGTGCGGCTGCCAGGGGCGAAGCCTTCAGACAAATAGCAGAGTAATGCACGGTCGGGCGGCGGCCAGGCTCTCTGAAGCGACTTCTCCAGACCTCCTTGCAAGCTGCCGACAGCATCCGCAGCTGCTCCTGTGGCTCGCCACCCTGCAAGCCGAAATTCGCAACACGGAAGCTTTGCTCTTCACACCTTCGCGGTTGCCGGTCAGGCTCCGTTAGCAATGCATGCTGGGCACTCACAAACGAGGCTCACTAGCACCATGCATGCGGACAGTCATGAAAGTCGAGGGATCCAGTTGCGAACATGGCACTGTTTGCTTTGAAGACCCAGCACGAGAAGCTGCTGCACCCTACCTTGCGCATGAGCGAGGCAAACAGCCTCGGAGTCCACATGCACGCCAATCCGTGCATGTGAGAGTTTGATGGCTCGTTCGGCAAGCTCAGGATCTAAAGTCGGACATTGAGCATGCACGGTTGTCGACAGCTCTACTGCGTTCGCATCCCTGGACCCTCGTCGCGACAGAAACACACCCGAAATTCCGAGCCAACAAGTACAGAGTTGCATGCAGCTGTCCGTCGCCAACCCTGCAAGAGTCTGTGAGCCAGGCGAATGGGATCTCAATGCTGAGCGTGACTCCGGCGACAACTGCCAGGCAAGTCGCACGTGGTGAGTTGGGGCAAGAAGCTTTTGTGATTGTGGCTCACAGCGTCCGCAGCAACAAGAACGCAGCTTGCGAATCTTCAGCCCTTTGGAGCTATTTGGCACTCCAATCATCCGCCTCACTGTGCAACATCATTTCTGCTTAGGCCATGGCCAGCGGGTTGCAGGCCAGCCTGCCCAGTTCCTTTGCAGACTCACTACGGGCGCGGAAGAGAACTGCAATCTTGCCGGACAGCGAGCCTCCGCCGAGTTGCTCAGGGCCGCTCCTGCCGAAGCAGCAAGGAGGACGCCGGACAAAAAACAACGCCGCAGCAGCCGCTCCAGCGCCTCCGTCCACCGAGTCCACAGCTTCACGGAGTCTCTGGAGCCTCTCAGACCAGTGTCAATTCTGGCACGAGCACTTCACCACGGGTAAGCGATCCCGATGACGTGCCCGTGTGATTTTGGCTCTATCCGATCGCGGATAGCATGTGCAGACCACAAGACTTGGGCTTGTAAGAGCCGGGCGAGCACGAGACACGGCAGAGTAGCGAAGACTCCTGGTCCACTGTCTTTGTCCAGATCCACATCCCCTCCAAACCAACTTGAAGGCACACTCAGGCTCTCGCCTTCGATGCCTCTGCTGCGTTCCTTGGGTGCGGACAGGAGAGTTCAAACATCTCGCATGCAGGCTTAGACTCAGCAGCAGCACGTTTTGAGTTGGCACTTGCCGGGCTATCAGAAAGAGCTGCAACCAGAGTGTTTCTCACCTCTTTTCTTTGCGCATGGTTATGGGGTTGGGATGCCATGATGGCTGAGGCAGTTGGTGAGATGAGGGGCCTTGTTTGAGGGGATTCCCACCGGGACACCTGAACACACAGTCGGCAAGCAACCAAGGACAAAACTAGTTCCGGGACAGCTTGAAGAGTGACTGCACTGCCTGGGTTACATACCTGGTCACCTTTCGGACAGAGTCAAAAGGGAGTCTTCCCGAACAGCACTGTGCGAAGCACCACTCACCCATAGGCTCACACCTACACTAGCCAGAGTGTTTCTAGGGTTAAGGTTCCAATCCCGTGAAAGGTAAGCACGGCTAGCAATGCCCCTACGTCGTCCTCGTTCCAGAAACATTGCAATGGAGTACTGGGTTTAAACTACATACAGTAGCAGAGGTATCTGAGCTTGCGACTCTGTGACAAGCTGTGTGAGAATGTCCAGAACCGACTGCCTCAGGGTGACGCGTCTTTAATCGGTCTCCTCGCTGAGAAAATGACAGTAAGACCAAGGCTGAGAGTGGGTGGTGCGGTAACGTCCAAGCCTCGGCACGTGGCTTGCCCTAGGATCTTCAGCTTCCGCAACTCTCTTCCTTCCGTCCTTCTTCCTTCCGGCGTCTCTCTTCTTCTCCCAGGCTTAAGGGGCTTGTCAGGCGGGCGTCAATACCGGTCTGCGTCTGGAGCATGCCCCCGCTCTCCACGCTCGGAGACTCCGGCTTCTGCATAACATCTGGTGGGGTGGTTGTGTCCGAGGCGTGACAGGTTTATCCCACACAATCCCACACACTGACCAGCACAACATCTAAGAACATTCACGGACGCACTGTGACCATACACCGCATATGAGCCCTTGTCTCCTATGCCTTTCGGAAAGGCACAAGGTGTCAATCGCACGAAAAGCTGCGCAGGCTTCCTCGAATCATGTTTGTACAAAAGGGAGCGAGGCCAAGGCAAAGGCTTGGTATTGTAAGCGGGGAGCATTAGCAGTTTTGGTGTGTGTGCGCCGCACCTGAAAAGTCTCGGAAGCGGAGTGTATTCAAAAGGTACGACGGCAACACATGAAAAACTTAGAGAGCCCCGGATCTGCGCATCTCTCCTTTCACTCTCCTTATTTCGCTCCCTTCCGCCCTTGCTTTCATTGTCTTGCCGGACGTGAAGGAGAGATATCCCTCAGCTCTGTTTCGTCTACGCCACAAATAGAGGAACGAGGCACTACCAGAAGTACAGGACCGAGTCGACGACCCATCGACGAGCAAGTGGTAGCACTCGTTCCGCAGTCCGTGCGATGCTGCGATTGCCTTGGCCATGCCATGCCATGCCCATCCCCCCACGCGCAATCTTCCCCATGCCGGGCTTCCGACGGCCAGCTGGTACAGACATCGCCTACGAGTTCAAGCTAAAGATTCCAGATCTCATTTCACACGAAGAGACTGCGGACTCTACAATCTCGTGAAGCGAGCACGTCACATCCAACTTTCAGGGCACCTCCTCCCTGATTTCAAGACCTCCGGACTGCGAACCTGAATTCAAGTGATTCAGCTTTCCTTGCGATGAAGAGGTTTGTTGCACACCGGGGTACACCGAGGCTGCGCAGCTTTGCGCACGGAGACATCATAGACGAAATTCTGCTAAACATGTTTCCGCATGCGAATGCAGATCCCATGGATGTCATGTAAGCTCAAGGCAAAGGTCCTGAACTGCTCCACGACCTGCTACGTGTTCATAAAACCATTCTTCTCCTCTTCTGATTTCTCGTCACGTCTTTAATCCCGAGGCAGCGAGCAAGCATCAATCCTAGCCGACAGCACCGAAGGCGAGACAGTGCCGGCCCATGCTGTCCGCCGTATTGCAGCTCGTCCCAACTCTCTACACTGCCAGGGAAAGTCATACTTCAGCTGCAACGGCAGTGTGCCATCTGCCCCGTGAAACCCGCGGAATTCTCCCAACAGCCAACCTCCCCACGCTTCTCGAAAATATTTGCAGGTAATCTAATACGTCTACGTCCACGTCCACGTAAATGCCTTTGCTGACTCAGCGCTCTCCCACAAGTCTCGCCCCCCCCTTTCTTCCTCTTCTCTCGGCACTGCTATTGTCCAGGTAGTGGCTGGGGGGAGATTTCAAGTGGGTGCCTCCGGTAGATCGAGTTGTACATGGACGGAGCTTCGCTCCATGTAATCAGCTGGTTCGCTGGTGCTTGTGCACCCTCTGCTTGCAAAAAGGGGTTGAATCCACGTAGCTCGTGTCGCTTTTGTTGGCTTTGTCCATCCGGATTGCTGTCTTCATGACCTTCTGTGCCAGCCCTTCTCGAGGTCACGTGCCCCTTGGTGCCCAGGTCGTCGCTTCGGTGGTTCGCTGGGTTCAGCACTATTAGTCTTCGGTCTTCGGTGTTCCTCCTTCGTAGGCGCACCGTAGGCGCACTTGTCCTTCTTAGTGTCCCTGCCAGAGTCACGAGGGTTGGATCAGCAAGTCTTTCAGGTGCATTCCCAGAGCGATGTGGTAGATCTGCTGGGTAATGGTATTTGCCAGGGGTTCCTCGATGATGTTTTTAATGATGCGCCCCCCCTACTACTGGGCCACCCTCGCCGAGGCGAGGGGCCAGCTTCAGGGAAGGACTTGGTGCATTAACCCTGGGGTTTTGTCACGGATGGTCTCAAGCCACCGCCGCTCAGGCACACGTCCCCCGTCCGGCCAAGAGCCTGCCCCCAACAACCGCTTGAGCCAAATTACTAGCCCCACCCCAGCCCAGCCCTCTCTTTCTCTCTCCCGAACATGCAGGCCGGTCAAGGCCCCGGGCGCCATATCTATATCTATATCGGTGTATTATATATATATATATATATAATTTATATTTATATTTATCTCTCTCTCGCTCTCTGACTGTGCAGCTACCGACATCAACAACCTGACTGGGCAACGAATCTCGCAAGGCCTCGCTGAAGCCCATACCCCCGGCGACACGCAACAGCGCCTTGCAGAGTTTTCAGGAACCCATCGTTGCTCTCGCTGCTTCTGCTCGCTTTGCTTACTCTACGGCAGTATTTACATATTTGATTCAGCGACTGCAAGGTTGCCATTTGGGGTTCCTCGGTGCTGCGGTGTTTTTCCGCAGGTTTGCACTGCACGTCTCAGACTCCACCAAGCAGTTGAAGGAACCTAAAACCCTGAAGACAAGCACGCGCAGCAGTCGCATTTTCCAAACAGCGCCGTTGAGGTCGCCGAAGAGCAGGGCCCCTTCCTGGTCAGGTAGAACGAAATGGTGCATGTGCGGCACGAAGATGACCGAAGTGAAGGGAGCAAGACCATCGCAAACATCTTGAAGAAGCGAATGAGCGACGACAACGACTTGCTCTGGGGGAAGAGAGGACGGAAGCCTAGAAGCAGCCGTGACCAGCTTTGCAACACAACCCGTCCTCGCTGGCCGACGGCTCCACCCGGCACGAATTCAAGGATTGCGGAACTTCCGCATTTTCATCGAGGTAAGCAGGAAAAGCAATCAGAACACCACCATCCCTGAGCATGGAGGCGAAATTCTGAAGGGCAAGTGTGCTCAATTTCGCGGGGCAGTTCCGGATCACCACCGCATCAAAGTGGGCCAGCGGCAGGAGCTGTGCCAGGGAACTCGGCAGCATCGTGAATAAGTCCTCCAACAAGTCTTCCGGGTGGAGCTGGGCGATGTCGTTGCACAGAACCTGTCGGAACAAGTCCATCGAAGTGCTTTGCTGGAGGAATGCCATAATCGATTGTTCCCCATCTGGCAACACGGCGGAATGCAGGTGAAGGAAGCTGTGGCCAACGTGTAATACATGGAAGTTCTGCCGAATGAAGTCTGGAGTGTACCGTCGCCTCCTTCGCATTCAACACATTGCACCAAAACCTATTTCTCTCCCGCAGTCTCATGCGGTTTCCCGGAGACCACACCCGAAAAGACCCCTGATAAAAGCCCCGGGCCTTTGCTCCACGAGCCTGGGAAGCTGAGCCACGGCCGTCTTGAAGCGCTCTCGCAGGCCAACATCTACTGGGACGAGCCTCGGTGGCATATGGCTACGAGGCTATGAGCCACGCAACGCCCTTGTTGTGAGATTTAAGAGCCAAGGGTCTTCAGCAAGAGAGCATAGCTCTCAGCCAGACGCCCGAACTCCAACGTCGGATGCCTGCCAGAACATGCTGCAAACAGCCATTTCCAACACATACTGCGTTTGGTGAAAACGCCCACAAGATCGAAGAAGCCTAAACGCTGGTTTCCTGCTTCTTGACAGAAACTGCAGTTTGCAGATTCCTAAGATTTCGTGAGTTGCTGGGTTGTCGCCAAACGTGAAAGTTGAACAAGTCCGCAACGCCTCGTGTGGCCTTATGCCTGCCGGCTCAGGATGAGAAGCAATTCGAGGAGCGACGACAGAGCATCAGATTCATTCTGACCTGGCGTGACCTCCATGGCTCTCAGGCCAGGTAAGACCTGAGACTGTCACGAAATTCCGGAAATCCATACTACCAGCTGGACAGCTGGGCGGCTTCTTCATGCTTTCTATTCGACACCACGTCTAGGCTTGTCCATCCGTTTTCGTTTTCGGTTCTTGACACAGGACAGCACGTGTATACATTCATTCCTACGGTGATTCATCCGCACTCGCACATACTCAACCACCATCCAACATGTTCATACATGCAGCGTGGCCTTTTCAGATGCTCATATCGATTTTCCAGAACCGAAGCGCTGAAGTCGCGAGAGTCCGCGAGGGAGCGCAGCAAGACACACATAGGCCAGGGCTCCAGAGAACGTGTCACGGCCGCCAATCTGGAAGCTGCTGGCCGATTCCAAACATCTCCGTCATCCCAGCGAAGTAGGCCGTCTTCAAGCCAAGCAGCACACGACGTACCTGAGCTGAAACAGGTTCTCGTCGCGTAGGGATGCTGCGTGAGTCTACATGCTCAAGAAAAGGCAGTAGTTGATGCTGCTCGGAGGGAGTTGCCGTCGCTGAGGTCGATGGAGTACCTCGATGCACCGAATGAGCATCTGCAACGCAAGATACAATCGTACAAAACCTGGACACGACAGTAGAAGTCTGGATTCTGGATCATGTCAATACATAGTGCGCGGTGCCTTCCGTTGCCCGTCTGCTGCACAGCCCGAGGCTGGCCTGCACAGGAAGGTGCGTGACTTGTGACTACGCCTGACAGCGAACAGCACCGATGGACATTGCTTGAACTTGCAGCACTTGCCGTAACTGCTGTCGCAACAGCAAGATGTGGAGGAAGAGGACTGATGAGTACTGATAGGGCTGGACTTAGATTGCGAGTCAGCGTAGATGTTGAGCAAAAGCTTGCATGGCTGCATCGAATGACAGGTCGGGCTGTGACATGTTCATGAGACTGAAAGTTGCATTACATAACGAAGTGAGTGCTGCTCTGCGACTTGCGATTTGCATCGCGCTATCAAAGGCAACAGACTTGTGACTTTCTGTGGCTCCTCGAATTACGCTCGCTGCCTTGCTTTCCAGGGTCTACATCTGACATGGGTCCGTCCTTGCAAGCCCCCGGACCTTCGACTGTCACCCAGTGCACCAGGCCACCACGCACGCAGATCAGCTCTTTCTCCCGTTCCCAGAAACCCTCCTCAAGCTGCGAATGCAGCACATAGGACGCAGACAGCTTACCCCACTGAAAAGCTTGTACTAGTACTCCTTCCAAGATACTAGATTGTCGGAAGGCCCAGACAAGAGTTTCTGCCAGCTGTCCCATTGAACCTGGTCACGAAATGGTGGGGAGGGACGTCTGCAGCACTCTTCGACCCTGACACCTAGCCGTCAGCTCAAGCTGCACGGCGCCAGGCCAAGGAACCCATATGGGCAAATGCAGGGACTCTTCATTTTGATCCAGAAAGTCCTCGCGAAGCGGAAACGGCATTGCGAAGCCGTTCCGTGCGAACCTGCAAGTGAAGCTTTGTCAACACATCTCACGGGAAGAACTGCGGCAGAGCAGCTGGCTCGAAAAACAGCTAGACGAAGCGAGCTTGCGACTCTTGACGGACCGTCTAATACACTGGTGAATAGAAACTTTAACGTCGAACGAAACAGACGTAGCAACCGTACGACCGTGATCCGTTGAAGACTTTGCTTGAAGCATCCATGGGAGAAAGGCCGGGCAGCAGAAGATCTCTTCGCAAGCTGAATTCCAGCTCAGGCGTCCTCCTGAAGATGGCCGACACCTCCAATTGCCAGTCCATGGCCCCATCCGCCAACATGGCTCGAAGCCTTCGCTAGAGCCGTTTTGAGCCCAGCGACAGCGGAGCCTTCGAGAATGTTCTTGACAAGAATCTCTGACCCAAAACGCATTGAATCTTTCCAGGACAGAGTGGAGCGAGTGCAAAGTTTTATCTGGCCTGCCAACATCGCACCCCGAGGTCGTTGAGCTGTCCAGGGAACGGCCGCCAGCTCAAATCCTCCAAAGACAGATCCGCATGTGGCAGGTCTCCGCTTGAGACACTCTGAGAGCTTGCGATCTATGATGCATTAGGACGATAGGATGAAAAGGCAGCATTCCACCTGCCTTGTGCTCGACATCGAACCACCTTGTATGTTGTGAGCGTGCCTACAGGCTACGTCCTGCTGCTGTATCTTCGATGCTTAGCACGGCTACTGGAGCAGTCTTCCAGAAGAGAATGCCTCGAACCCGAGGTTGTAGTACTACAATGAGCCAGATTAACTATGTCTGAGAACGACCAGAGGCTAAGGGGCTGGCGAGATCTCGAAGAAAAGCTCCGAGGCCTCGCAGAGTCACACGAGATTCTCATTTTCCCTTTCTGCCTTGCCGACCACACCATCAGAAACCTACACGCGCGAGGCGGAGTGTTACAGCTGAACTGCTTGATGAAGCGGATGTTCAGGGGGCGCTTCTGAAAATAAACCTCACTAAGCTGCTCAATGTATACGGCGTTCGGCCGTGCTTTACTTGCCGCTACTCGGCGCCGGAATCAGAACTGAATACCATTCAGAAGTTTATCAAGGTTCCCTTCAGAATTGTCTTGTCCTTGCCCTCTCAGAGTGTCACTGAAGCTTGAAAGTCACACTCCGCCCTTCCTCTTCGGCTGCTTTCAACACGCAGAGCCGCAGGTTCGCATCCTCAGCGCAGGTCAAGACGAAAAAGTCTTGAAGCCGGCAGTTGAACAGATAAGTTCACGGAATCCCCAAAGAATATGATAACACCGGTATTGCCCTCCACTCCGGATCCGCCAAAGGTCTGAAAGCCTCAGATGATATAGTCCCAGTATGCCTCGGCAACCCACCATGGCCCGCACTTGCACGAACCTTTAAGCCTCAGTTTACATTGGCGAGGTTCCGGGCATGCCCCCTTTCGAGCGAGACCCAATTGAGCACCAAGCCTCTTGAAGAGAGCTCGGTGGCTGCAACAAAACTAACACATTTTCGGATGCTATCTACAATTCCTGACAGCTCGCTCGGCCTTGCACACAGAAGCCGCAGGTCTTGGTGCAAACATGGAATTTCCTGCAGCCCGAACCCATCCAAAACCAAAAAGTGCCAGACTTGTGACGCTGCCCATACCCATCACAAGCGTTACATGGAGTCAAAGCGCCGCAGCCTATTCAACTGAACCTTCGTTCAGGCAAGCATATGCTTCGACGACACAGGCGCGATCCTTGCGCGTTGGCACCTTGTGGAAGAATCACGGGTGTCATCGAAGCTGCTTCAAAAATCGCTTCGCGGGAGTCGCTCCCCTGTAGCGAAGCACGTGAAGCGCAAGTTCCTTCCCAGCCCGGTACAGACTGAACCTGAGGCTTCGCTCAGTGTGAAAGCGACCAAACTTCAAATTCAAATCATCATCTCGGAAAGGCGGCGCTTCTTTTGGACCTGCGTTTGCACACCACACTCCTGACCCTTCATCGGAGGCCAGCCCTCTGTTGGCACCTCTGGAGGTGGCGGCACTGCTGGGGGAGCCGGATTCGGCTGTACTGTTTCCGGCGCCGGCGCTGCTTTCGGAGCTGGCTGAGCCGGCGGCGCCTGCAGGAGATGCAACTGGCTGCTCAACCGTACGGTGCCCAAACAACCACAACCACCACTATCACAAGCCCATCAGCGACGATGACAGACATCGGAGCACACTTTGTTGTACGTGCGGCAACTGATCCCCGAACATCACTCGAACCAAAGCCTTCGCTGTTACCCTGCCCGGTCCCACGTGGCCTTTGTGTGCAAAGCGGGCTTCTTTCCGACCTTCTCATCCTTAGTCAAAAACATGAAGTACCCCAAGCTCAGCAAATGAAGTACCTGCGTTGGACATGGTATGAACCGGATGCTTACGCATCGTAGCGGTCGTAACGCCGACCTTGAAACTTTCTGCCCTGGATGATGGTAGCTGGTACTAAGCAACGGACGCCGCTTGTCTTTGCAGCTGGCTTGGATTCCTCAGCCTGCCAGTGAAGTCATCCAGTGCAGGACATCCAGTCGACTAGTGCAGTCGCACCTTGGCATCGCTGGCCTGCAGGTTTGAAGTTGCGGAAACTGGCTTCCGATCATCTGACAAAAGACTCAACAGACTCTGACTCTCGGACTCGGGCTCCCTCGCGCATCACCTTAGCAGGCTCCGGTACGGCACCCACCTGACATATCCGGCCCCAACTTCCAGGCGTGCGCAGGCTTTCGAAGTGCACCGGCCTCGTCCAGCGCTTCCTTCGCTGCCGCCGCATCCTTCTCTTCCGCGGCCTTCGCGGCTGCTGCCCTTGGCTGGTTCGAGGTCGTGGGTGCGCGAGGGACAGAGGGGGCCGTACTTCACCACACGACTGACGGGACACTGCTGCATGCTCCAGGCTCCAGCTCACCAGCTGCTGTAACAGCTGAGGCGCGCCTCCTTTTGCCTCTTGGCCTCTGCCCTCTTCTCCGCCTGATCTGCCTTGAAAGTCGAAAAGGCCTTCAGACAACACCGACGAAGATCTACGGGGGTAACGGATGGTAACGGGGTCATGGTCGAGAGCAGCTGGAGACCTCCAGGTCGATGGCAGACTTGTCGTTCTGCCAGTACAGGTTCTTGTGGATGAAGAGGTATCCAACAGACGAATCATCCTGGTGAGTAAAATCACGGTGGATACACACCTTCCCCACCACCCCTGCATGTGGCCGGTCCTTGCACTTGGACAAGGTCTCCGTTGCACCGAGCTTCTTCATGCCCTCGAACTCCAGCACTTTCTCAGTTCCGACTTGGATGGGCCCGATTTTGATCGGCTTGTGGACAATAATGTCGTCCAGCGATCCCATGTTAGCCTTGTTCATTCCTGCGTAACAGCTCGCCATGTCTCCCTCTCCGATCCAAGCCAATGATCCAAGGTTTTGCTGCAAGATCTGCATGACCACTCCGTAGAGTGCGATCATGCCTTGCGTCATGCCGACCACGTTTTCCTTGCACGTCGTTGCCGGCACGCAGTTGGCGGCATATTGGTGGTCAGCATGGGCTCCGTTCTCGAAGACACTGAAGTAGTTGCAGCCTGCCGTGGCGTTGCTCGTCATGCCTCGGCTGACATCTGAACCCCGCCTAAATGTAGAACGTACAGCCCCACCTATTGTCGATTCATGTAGGTAAGTTAAAGTCCTGAGAGCCAACCAAACAGAGCAAAGATGCTGTCGCCGACGACGGGGGTGCAGCCAAAGTCCTTGAAGACGGTCCCAGCAACCTCTTCAGTTTTCCCGTACAGCTCGTTTGTGTTGATGCTGTTCTGAATGTCTTGCGCTGAACCTGCAGGGTCCCCACTCAATTGCAGCACCAATATCTCACTCGACTCTCCTCGAACTCCCACCCTGCAAAAGCACATCTGCAAATAGCTTGCCTGCGTAGTCGCCGCAGCAGCTTCCCATGAACCTCAACTTCCGGGCTTCTCAGTCCCCTCCGAACTCACCCAAAACAATCCTCGAAACAGCACCGCAATCCAATTGGATGCTCCTGCAAAGCCCAGCAGCTGGAGATCACCCAACATCGGATTTCCTGCCTTGAGGCCGTCGACGTAATCCTTCCGATGCAGGCAAGCAACTCATGCCCCTTGACAAGCTTCTGCAATTCCACCCGACCCCCACAAATTCTAGTGGTCCTTCAGGGTCTGTTGCCCGAGCGCCTGGAAATAGAGCAAGCAGCGTGATCAGAAATCCACTGACTTCATTCCCGTCCAGCATTCGGCCTCCCCCATCGTGGTCAGAGACACGCGGGCAAACGCGGAAGCATGAGCCACCAGTCCCAGACCCAGCACCTAAATCCACAAGGATCGAGTGCGCCAGACTGGCATGTGGTAACAGCGGAAGCTTTCCAGTTCTCAGTGATTTCAAGCTTTAACTCTCTTTTCAAAGTTCCATGGCACAGCAGACTCTAAGCTCTGTTTTTTCACAGCGCAGCGCATGCAAGCTCAAGGCCTTGATCACACACGCAACGGTGAATGCGTCTGCTGCACTCTCACAACAGTCCTAGTGCACATCGGAAGCCCTAGCCATAGTTCTTCAGCTTCACAGCCCCAATCTCTGTACACCCTGTCGTCCGGCTTCGAGCACATCGTTCTCATCCTCTATCAGCATCTTTGACGTCTTAAGTAGTCTCATGAGAGATTCGGCGTGACATCCTCGTAGCTTGGTTTGGGCGTCCGAAGGGTTCTTGTTGTGGGGAATCCATCTCGGTCGGGCGACGGTTGCCCACATGCTCTCTCGGATGACTGCAATCTCGAGGTTGCTTCGCTCGCAGTCTCCGGGCTGGCCGCTCACCAAGTTATCGAAAAGCGCCTTGGCATCGATGATGATGATACTGTTCGGGTCGACGAAGAGGCTGGATATGACAGTGGCCTTGCCCTGCAGCTCCAGGTTGATCTCCTCAGCCCTCTGGTGCTCCCTTGGAGAGAAGTTTGAGAACCTCAGAAAGTCCCACATAGCCACTTGCTTCTCCAGAAATGCCGTGGCTGCCGAAAGAGACAGGGCTTCGCACAGCATGGAGCTGGAGGCCTTCCGGCGCAATCGCTTTGACCGCCACTAATTTAGGGTGATTGGTGCGAGGCGCCCGGCGTTGAGGCTCGTTGCCGCTGGTGTCGAACGCCGCGTCCGCGATCAGCACGTGTCTCACGTCCTTCTCCGGGATCGCGTGCACGATGAGGCGAATCGGCACCTGCTTCAGATGCTGAACCATCTCGTTTGCACTAAGGGCTCCGGAAAGGTGGCCGCCAACACGCTGGCTGCCGCAGCGGCGTCGGGACGAGTCTCCCTTGCTACCCAGGCCAGAGATTGGATCACACCCCTCAACTGGGTCTTCTCGCTCTCGTGCAGTGGGGTGTTGGCAGCGTCCTTCTGGAAGACCTTGCGACCCAACTGGACGGGAGCCAGGCGGGTGTAGATATACTCCTCCATATGCACCTGGAAGGAGTAATCTTTCATTTGACAGATCTTGCGGCCGGCGTAGGTGCTCGCGGCCTCGTACAAGTCCTCAACCTTGCCAAACTTGATTTGTTTGGACAGCTGCTCCATCTTGGTCCGGTGAGTTGCTGTCCCGGCCTCGATGATGTCGTCCACCTCCACGATGAGGAAGCCCAGGGAAGGAGGCCTTACTCCTTCCTCGGTGGTGGCTGGTTGCTCCAAGTCGGGAAGCACCATCACCGCCAGGTCCAGGAAGGTGCGCCTCCACCAGGCAGGGCCTGATACCAGCCCGTAGACTTCCGTCAACAGCAACAACAGCTGCTCGGGGTGTAAACCCGGGAGGCCTTCGTCGTCGGGTTGTCTGCATGCCAAAGGTCGTTTGCGAGGCGGGCTTCGATTGCAGAAAGGCGGTTTGCACATCTTTGATGTATGTTCGCCATCTCCGACTGGCCGCTAGCTGGAGTGCCGCGTTGATCGAGCTCGTGAGCGGAGTCGGCTCTCTGCTTCCTGTTTCAGAAGCTCCTTTGCCGTAATGTATGACGCAAAAGATTCATTCTTTTGTCTTTCTCCTGTGAAAAAGAAGGCGTCTATGGCTGCAGGGGCGGAGGCTTCCAGGAATGGGGCATATTTTTCCATTATGGCACTGAGTATCGCCGCATAGCCGCCCTCAGCAAGGATGAGTTCCATGGGGAGGCCCTCGGCGATCTTCCTTGGGGGACTTCCTTCATTCA